AAACATGCAGGTGAAATAAAGACATTCTCAGACAAACAAAAGCTCATAGAATCTGTCTCCAACAGAGCTGAGTTACAAGAAATTAATATTAAAAGAAATTCTACAGACTGAAGAAAAATTATTCCAAAATGCAAGCACAGGTTTGCATGAAGTAAAAAGAGCACTAGAAAAGCTTCATATGTGGGTAAATATTTATTACCCACATATGAATTTTTTTTTGTTTAAAGCCACAAAAATGTATGATGAGGTTTATACCATAAAGAAGTAAAACATATAACACTATCACAAGAGATAGAAGGGGTATCAAGTGGAATTACATTAAATGAAGGATATATGTCCCTAACTAATTAATTACCCAAAGCAAACCCAGGCAGTCTGGGTCCCAAGCAATTTCTCTGAGCCACTTAGCAATGCTGCTGTTTGTCAAATGAACACTTTTGCCACTACTTGATTCCTTTACAAAACTGCAATACTGACAATAATGTAAAAGTATCCTTATACAAAAATGATAAGTATCCTTATCAGTTTAATCAAATTGTGATTGGACCAAGAAATCCATGAGATTCCAAAGACCTATCCTGCTCACAACCTCTTCTAAGGTGCCAGAGTTGGGTCCTTCCACAGAATTTCCTGTGCTCAGTGGCTTGTGGCCCTGCTGTACTGGCCACAAGTGACTATACCAGGGATCTATGGCTTAGTTAAAAATGGCCATCCTCTGGATGGACATAAGAGACCAGAATGACCCTGTAGTCTGTGCCCAATCAGGGAACTCTCTTTTGGATTATGACTAATAGAATCAATCAGACCTCTTTCAGAGAGAAGTAGAAGAAATGTGCAGCGAGAAGCTGGAAAACACATGCGCGTATTGTGACTACACAGCACTGGACGTCCATTTCGAGATGAGGACATGACCCATACATTGGAGCTTCTGGGTTTTGTATATGACAAAGATCTATTTTCTCAGCTTTCCAAGGAACTGTGCCTCTTAAGAGACAATGGCCTTACTGGCTTCTGTATTCTTAAAATAAGCTTCCAGCATTTAAGATAACATGCCTTTGTTCCTTGCAACTTCAAGAAGCCTGTCCAAACTTACATTAAAAAAAAAAAAATCAGACCTCGATACACAGAACATTAAACCGAGTATTTCAGGCATAAAAAATAAGATGTAAAAGGGGTTATACAGCCTGAGGCAATGGCACATACTTAACTACAGGGAATTCTTTCTAATGTGCTGACAATTATTACATAGTTGGTCAAAGATAAATGAAAATGTGAATAGTTAAGCTCCCACAGAGTCCTCTCAATGCCGTGAAAAAAGAGAATTCTTCAAACATTCAATACAAGAAACAAGGGTATATTCAGAAGGCACTAATAACTCCACATACTTTCCTGAGCTCTTAATGTCAAAGCAAAAGTAATTTTCAGGACTTCCACCAAGATGGAGGCACAGGTGGAGTCGCCATGCTTTCTCACACAACCAAGTTGAGAGACAACAAAATATTAGCAACAGAAAACACAGCCAGAACACAGAAAATTGAACTTTTCGGAAGTCCGATAACAACGAATGCTTCAGCCTGACCGGTAAGAGGGGCGAAACCAGCAGCTGGCGGAGCGGGGTTGCACAGAAAAACTCGGTCAGACGGACTCAGGCACACGGATCCCAGGCGTGGGATTGCAAAGGGCCGACCCAGTGAGCAACCGGCGGATCCTGCGAGGGTGAAGGGCGGTGGGTTGACTGTGCTGGCGCATTCCTGTGCAGATAGACCGGGGAGGGAGTGGGCAGAGAGATGGGACCGAGTGGGTCCCAGCGACGGGAGGCAGCAGAGACGGCCGCCAGTTCCCGGCTCTGACCCCGCCCCCACATACAGCGGCACAACCCAGCGACCTGAGCAACCCTGCCTTGGAGTACACCTAAGGCTTCGCTCCTCACCCAGCGGCAGGAAGTAGGAGAGGGGGACGCCATTTCCCCACTCTAACCACGCCACCACATACAGAGTCACAACCCAGTGACCCCGCCCTGAAGGCCCTGCCCTGCCCCTAAGGCTCCGCTCCTCATACTTAATGGGCGAGAACAGACCAAAAATGGCTCAAGATCTCAAAGTCCCAGAGCCCATAAATCTAAGTCATGAAGAAATAGCAAAACTTTCAGATGCACAGTTCAAAACACTGGTGATCAGAATGCTCACAGAACTGGTTAATTTTAGTCACAAATTAGAGGAATGTATGAAGGCTAAACTAATTGAAATGAATGGCAATGCACAGGAAACCAACAGTAATGGAAAGGAAACTGGGACTCAAATCAAAGGAGTGGACCAGAAGGAGGATAAAAATGACCAACCAGAAAAGAACGAAGAAACAAGAATTCAAAAAAATGAGGAGACTTAGGAACCTCCAGGACATCTTTAAGCGCTCCAACATCCGAATTATAGGGGTACCACAAGGGGGAAAGGAACAGCCACCAGTGGAAACCTTATTTGAACAAATAATAAAGGAGAATTTCCCCAATCTGGCAAAGGAAATAGACTTCCAGGAAATCCAGGAAGCTCAGAGAGTCCCAAAGAAGTTGGACCCAAGAAGAAACACACCAAGGCACATCATCATTACATTAGCCAAGATTAAAATGAAGGAGAGAATCCTAGAAGCAGCAAGAGATAAGGGGACAGTCACCTACAAAGGAGTTCCCATCAAACTGTCAGCTGATTTCTCAAAAGAGACCTTACAGGCAAGAAGGGGCTGGAAAGAGGTATTCCAAATAATGAAATCCAAAGACCTACAACCAAGATTGCTCTATCCAGCAAAGCTTTCATTTAGAATGGAAGGGCAGATAAAGTGCTTCTCAGATAAGATCAGATTCAAGGAGTTCATCATCACCAAGCCCTTATTGTATGAAATGTTGAAGGGACTTATCTAAGAAAAAGAACATAAAAAAGATGAACAGTGAAAGGTGGGCAAATGCACAGTTATTAACAACCACATCTAAAACAAAAGCAAGCTAAAAGGACAGCTAGATCAGGAGCAGAACCATAGAAATGAAGATCTCATGGAGGGTTAGCAACAGGGGAATGGGAGGAGAAGGGGGGAGAAGGTACAGAAAATAAGTAGCAAAGATGGTAGGTAGAAAATAGATAGGGGGAGGGCAAGAGTAGTATGGGAAATATAGAATCCAAAGAACTTGAAACACATGGTCATAAACTAAAGGGGGGAACTGTAGGAGTGGGGGGGTGCAGGGTGGAGGGGAATGAAGGGGGGAATAGAACAACTGTAATGGCATAATCAATAAAATAAAATTTTTTTAAAAAGTAATTTTCAGCTCATAAAATTAGTTTTTAAAGATACATCTGTTAAAAATAGTGTTATCTCTCTATATATGCATTGTGTCTCTCTTCAATCTGTCATAACCAAAATAGGCTATTAGGAAGAGGATATACAAGGTCTGTCCAGAAGGTATCCAGCCATGTAATATGAAAAATAGACAGGTTTTGAAGAAGCTACAAGAAACATTGTACATAGGACAGAGATGTTTCAGTCTCAAAGTGGGCACCTTGGGACCTCATACAGTCCTTCCAATCACCATCAGCTGCCCTGTCGTATTTTCCTGAATTTCATCAATGTCCTGAAATCTCTTCCCTTTCTAAGGTGATTTTAGTTTTGGGAAAAGCCAGAAGTTAATAGGCCCCAAACCTGGCCTGTACCCAGGGACTGAGTCACCTGGGTGATTTGATGTTTCACTAAAAAACTCTGCTCTAGAAGTGATGCATGAGTGAGGTCATTGTCATGACGAAGCTGCAGCCTTCTGAAACATCTGAACAATTCTGTGGAGGAGTGTTCAAGCTGAACACAAAATCTGATGCAGATTTGTTGCTCTAGTCGCTCAATCATTTGGAATGCAACGGCCACACCGTACACATGCTCACTCAGCAGTGTCTACCGCCCCCACTGACTAGTACAGTGAAGTCATCATTGTTCACACATTTGCATTCCAGTCCAGTCCGTGGCTACCAGGTTACATTGATGTCATATAAACCATCATGATATTAACAATGGCTGGACTTTTTCTGGACAGACCTCATATACTGTACTTAATCCAACTGGAAAAAAAAGAAAACCAGGTGCCCCTTAAATTGTCTGTTCAGCCAAAAGATTTGTCTCATGCCAATCTGAGGATCTTTGTAAACACATATTTTCAATTATTATGACGAGAAAATCACTTGAAAAAATTACGTTGAGATTCCACATAAGAGACTTTGCTTGGGGCGATGGGTGCACAATGCACTGTGCAGATGATGTTTTATCAAGTTGTGAACTTGAAAACCTGTATGGTTTTGTGAGTAGATGTCACCCCAATATATTCAATTTTTTTAAAAAACCACATGAAGCACTAATTATCATTCTGGTTTCCTTGGCATCCAAGTAGATTTTAAAAGCTTACACTTTCCAGTGGTAATTATTTTGAAGCTGAGCATTCACATCTTTGCATTTTTAAAGCATTATGCAGTTCTTAATATTTTTGACAAGTCAGTAATATAGTTGTTTTATTTCGAATTTACAGCTGAAAAAAGAATTTAATAAAAAAAATAATGTCTTAAGGATACACAGTCAGTGGCCAAACTAGGATACAAGTTTTTGATTTTCCAGTACCTATGTAAATACAAGTATTCAAACCATTGAGATAAATGAATTTTTAATGTATTTCCCCATTATATTACTGCTCTAGAAATCCCTGTATAACAGCGGCCCCCAACTTTTTTGGCACCAGGGACTGGTTTCATGGAAGACAATTTTTCCACACACTGAGGGTAGGGGGATGGTTTGGGGACAATTCAAGCACATTACATTCAAGCTCACCTCCTGCTGTGTAGCCTGGTACCTAACAGGCCCCACCCGTACACCATGCCCGGAGGTTGGGGACCCCTGCTGCGTAAGACAGAGTCTTTGCCTAAAAGTTGGTTTATTACCCCTTCTTTGGCAGTAGAAAATACCTTGCAGGCCATACAACTGTGTTTGTTTCAGGGAAGGAGCGCTTTAATCGGTTGTTAAAGAGATTGGGAGTGTCTCCTCCCACTGAATGTACCCACACACAGTTAGGAAGCCTCTGACGCATCAAGAGAAAGGTTATAAACCCCAATGGGAGCTCAGGTGTGCTCACACAACATAAACCTGTAACAGCACCAGAAAACAAAGAAAACCTGTAACAGTACCAGAAAACAAAAACAACACACAAGGATTTCTCAACACAACTGCACGTTTTCAGAGTAGCTTCCTTCTGAAGAAATCAATTCCGATACCTTATTTTCAAAATGAAAACGATTCCTCCGTCAGCATCCATAGAAGCTCCATTTCCTTTATGGTCCCAACTTCTTTTATTCCTGCTTTGCTTTTCAGATCCAAGTAAAACTGGCATATAACATTATAAACTACTGTAATCCCAATTCTCTACTTTGAGCAATACTTTCATGTATTCAGGTTTCTGGAAGTGGTATGATTTTAAAATGCAGCTTGTTTATGAACATTGCCACACTGCCTCTTCCCTTACAAAACATTAATTTAATAACTAATATTAAAATCATGTATTTATGAGTTCATACAGCCATTTTATTACAATTAAGTTGAAAATGGAAACAGCTTAATTTAACAGGTAGTTAGTATTTGAACACATTTTAATTCTGAAAACCTACTGTTGAACACAAATATTTTCTATTTCAACTCTGTTCAGTAAGTTCCGATTTCACATTTGAAACAAGGCTATCAAGTGATTCACACCATATTTTCATAATATATTCATGAAAAACTTGCTATCAGCTAGAACACTACAGATGCTTTACCGACTCACATTTCCTCAGTATAATTTTGTTACTTTTATCTATCTTTCTACATTTGCTGTTGTTAAGATTTAGGATATATTCAACTGACAATTACGAAGATAAACAGTATACAGTCCCTCGCAAAAACAGTAGAAATGTAAATTGGCAGTATTTTTGGAGAACAATTTGGCAACAATTATCAAAATTGTATGTGTGTGTATACACACACACACAATTTGATGAGCACACTCACATGTAAATCTATCCAACAGAAACACCAACCTCAGTGAGCCGAGATGTACACACAAAGGTCAACCCAGCATTGTTGGAAACAGTGAAAAAATGACAAGAGCCCACCTGTGCAGAAGAGGTGACACAGCAGGGCTTCAGACTGCTGTCCTTAGGAAGGCCTGCCTGCGTGGTTGGCTTTTGGCTAGTGTCTGGGACCTGGCTGGTGAACAGCCCCCTGCACTGACATAAAACCCTCCCCAAGGACCCAAACCTGCGTCTATGAAGCCATCACGGAACTGAGGTACTACAGCATATAACTAGACTCATCTGGTTTTAAAATACACTTTATTGTTCAAGCCATATGGAAATAGTTTAATGCTCACAGTCAAAGGCACTCCTCTGGATTTCTGTTTCTGTCGGCTTATACGAAATGGCAATGAAATGACAGGCCAGAGTCTGCTGTTGTACCCACAGATACACCACTTACTAACTCTGTAAAGTGTGGCAAGGCATCCTAAGGTATAGTTTCTTCACTGTACATGTGAAATGATACCCACTGTTTTACAAGTATTGTTATGAAAAAATAGAGGGCTACTCACTGTGTTAGCTGTACAATGATATAAACTTTAATGATCGGACAAGTTCTAACAAATAACCTGGTCTACAAGTGGCCAATAATGGATCCATACTTCCAAGTGTCCCAACCCTAAAATATTTAAATCCCAGAAGCTCTGCCCAATGTCCACATGCCATGCATGGGAAACAATTTTGTTGAGTAGCTAGTGTGATGACATATGATTCTAATGAATTAAAGTTTTACTTGGGCAAGTTAGTCGTTTCATTTGAAAAGATTATAGGTATCACACACTGTCACTCAGAGGGCATTTGCAGAATTCCTGAACACACAATGCTGGAAAATGGCATGGAGCAGAATGGAGTGTCAGACAGGTGAGCCCACACGGTAGGGAGATGGTCCGCTCCTGCCAGCAATTTAAACAACACAGCTCAGGCAATCTCCATTTAAGATTTTATCAGAAATAATCAGTAGTTAAAGGTTGTACTTAATATATTTACTAATCATGTTATATGTATATATTTGGACAGATACCTACATGTATCTACATATATAAACGGAATACATACATACACACGTAAATGTCAGGCTGACAGAGCTTTAAAACAAGCACCAAAATATACATAATTGACTACAAAAGTGGAAACTAAGCTTCTTAAGCTATCAATCACATAAGTTACCAACAACATAAATTTCATATATTAAAAAATAAAGCAAATAAGGCAAAAACTTTAGTGCACTTAACCATATAATATATAGTTAATAAAAATCATAAATCCATTAACAAATTATATATACAAAACAATTAGCCATTTATATGCAGTAAACATTAGTATTTCAAAAAAAAGTTTTTTAATATATTACCAAAACTGTACTTAACAAATATCACTAAAGTTATTAAAAATGTTAAAATTTTTTAAATAACAGGATTACTTCTATTACATTCTAAATCAAATTTTTCTCTCCGTTTATGCAGATTTCACAAAAAGTGTTAAAATTTGAATAAATTCTTACTCTAAGTTTTTGTATTTTTATTTTACAACCGTTAAAGTATTGCCATTTCAAAGAAATAACCTATTGTTTCTCAGAACAAGTATTTTTAATAATGGAAGTCTTCTGTTCAATATACAAAATATAAATCTTTTCTTCTGTCAGAAGGTTCGAAATTACAAACTCTACACCAGACTCTTTTTTCTGAGTTTTCTTTTCTTCTTGGGTGCAGTGACCTCTAAAAACATAAAATTAAGAAGTCTGTCAGCTCTACAAAAATAATACTTAATCGGTAATAAGCATTTAAACTATACAGATGATAGACTGGTATTAAATAAGAATGCCACACAGCAAAGCTGGAACAAGAAGTCTTAAACCTGATATATACATGAGTTTTCCTCAAAATGTTATTGCAGCTGAAAACTTACTAATGCAGACTCTAGTTATCTTAAATCCTACTTAATAAATTAGCTACTTGGAAGTTGTTTCATATGTGCCCTCCCTATTATTAGCACGGACACAGTATGCAAGACCTGAGAGGTCTCCACGCCAGTGCAACAAGAGATAAAGTGCCTGAGATTTCAATTTCATTTCCGTTAAACCTGAAAATGCAACCCAAAACACTACTACCATACATCTTTTTGGCTATCACAGCAGACGCCAGAACCAACACGCAAACAGGTGTCCATGTAGAAACAGTTGTAAACCTAGTAGTTACTGGTCATTAAAAACAAGAAAAATAACAGAAGATACAAAAACATGAAAATTATGAAAAATGTAAAAAAAAGAAATATTCCCCACCAATGAAAAACAAAAGGGGAGTAACAGGAAAAGGTATAAGAAAAGAAAAAGAAAACATACTCCTAGAAGAATGCAGCCGCCAGGACAAGGCGAGCGGTCCCCGTGAACCAACCGCCCAGAGGAAAGCACCCCCCAGGCCTGGAGGAGACTTCTTCCCACTGGTGCGACTGGCGGATGCCTGGCGCACCTGAGCGCACCAAGAGGGGACTTACAACTGAGGACGAGGAGTCTGGGGGTCAATAACAGTGACAAGTACACAGAAAAAATAAATTAGTAAGGCAAAAAGAATTTATTAACTCTCTAGAGAAAATAATAAAACGTAGAGGTTAAGGAAGAATCATAGCACATCCATGGCACTACTGCCAATAATGTTCTGTAAATGCTGAATACCAACACAACTAAATAATAATTATATCGGGAGGGTGGGGCTGGACAGCATTCGGGTGTTAGGGTGGGAAGCAAAGGATACAAGGGAATTAAATCCTCACCTTCCTCAGTGGTAGTCAATACATAATCCACAGAGTTGAAGTATGAACAGATGGCGATATGAACAGGTTATTTAGAGACACAGAGGTAAGCCACAATAATTAGTAACGGGTTAAAAGTGGCCCTCCCTGGGGAGTAATACATGGGGGTCAGAGTTAGAAGACTGGCTTCTTATAATGAGTATTATAAAAATCATTTGAATTATTAAATTATGTGCATATATAATTATGATGAATGAAAACCAACTTTTTAGAAGTAACAAGCTAATGATTTTGGAATAGGACTTGCTGGCTAGCCATAAAGATGCGTGTGTGACTAATAGTTTACACGCACACACAGTAAAAGCCAGCATGCGAGACAGGAGAGAAAGGAGTCTGAAACTCACAAGACAGTAAAGGGCTATTTTGTGCTGATGTAAGCAAACCACAGAAGCACTCGGATTTCTGAAGGAAAGACACTCCCTTTCACTTGTCTGTTCTCTGTCTTCCATGTGCTTTCACGGCACCCTGACTCCCTTCACCATAATGTGCTGGCTTATTTCCCTTCCACACTAAACTGTAAGGTTACTGGGGGCACAGACTGATAGGATTCATTCAACAAATACTTAGGTCCACTGTGGGCCAGTCACAGTGCTCACATCTACAATTACTATGATTAAAAGAAAATGGTTCTTAAATTCTTGTCATATGTATCTTTATATACCTCTACCTTGCTAGGTGCTTGACACTAAGACACACCAAATGAATGCTTGCTCAATGAATATAGAACCCAAATGAAAAAAAAGTCAACAGGCGCTGTTCTTAATACATATTACATTCACCATCGCTGATGGATTACCAATTACTACTGTGAGTGTCTTCATTAACAGTATGTATGATTAATGCTAAAATTCTCCCATGTGCCTTAGGTGAAAGCACAACAAGAACACACAGCCAAACCCCATGCTCTTCGAGCTTCCCCTCAGTAGCAGGACAAAATCTCGTCTCTACCTGCTTCACTCTGACTTCCGTTCTCCTCATCCTCTTCCGTAATTACAGGCATACTCAGACTCAAACATTTGTCTTCCTTCTGCAGGTTCTGTACATCTCCTGAAAACAGATGGGAAGATGATTTTATATGAAAATAATGTTAATCTTTGATAAAAATGTTATACAATGTCATTATTACAATATAAAATTAGATTTCTAAACTGAAAGCTAAAATTGTAATGGTAAACAAAAATGTGCATTTCAAAATGTCTTTTTTAAGTATTGGGTTGGCCAAAAAGTTCATTTGTTTTTTTCCATAAGATGGCTCTAGTAGTGCTTGTCTTTAACTTCATTCAAAACAATTTTGTTAGACTGTATTGTGACAGCTGTCATAACAGCATGCTTTTAAAATAATTCATGTGCCCTGGCTGGCTCAGTGGATTCAGCACAGGCCTGAGAAGCAAAGGGTCATTGGTTCGATTCCCAATCAGGGCACATGTTGGAATTGTGGGCCAGGTCCCCTCTAGGGGGCACACAAGAGGCAACCACACATTAATGTTTCTCTCCCTCTCTTTCTCTCTCCCTAACCCTCTCTCTAAAAATAAATTAATTTTAAAAAATCATCAAAATAGGTGAAGTTTAGGGTAGCCATTTTAATATTGAAGATGGAAAAAACACACAACATTTTTGGCATATTATACTTTACTATTTCAAGAAAAGTAAAAATACAACTGAAATGCAAAAGAAAAGATTTGTGTAGTGTACAGAGAAGGCTCTGTGACTGATCAAAGGTGTCAAAAGTGGTTTGTGAAGTTTTATGCTGGATATTTCTCACTGGACAATGCTGCACGGCTGTGCAGACCAGCTGAAGCTGATAGCAAGCAAATCCAGACACTAGTTGAGACCGATCAATGTTATACCATGTGGGAGATGGCCGGTACTCAAATATCCAGATAAATAAAGTTACTGGTGAAAATGAAAAATGTGTCTTTTATTTTACGGAAAAAACCACAGCTTTTTGGTCAACCCAGTATTTTCAGTTTGTTCCCAACTACCTACCATACTATTCCTGGTAATAGCTAGAAGTGTCCTATATCGGAGCTTAAGTATTTACTAATGTTTCTAATCCTTTTTTTGTATATATTTTTTTAAACTTTAACTTTTAAATAAGTCATTTCTTTAAGAACCAAATACCAAATAACTTTGGTATTTCAAAAAAATGCAGGTATAGCTTAACTATTCTAGCTAGAGGGAAATATGGTTTATAGAATGTTACTGCTCACCATACCTTATTCTATACGTAAGTTTGTTTCACACACAAAAATTACTAATAAAGTATGATCTGGAAAATTCTAGACTAATTCTATAACTACCTAGCTATAGCACTTTGAACAGGTTATACTAATCAATCTGTCTGGGTGTAAATTTCATAACCTATGAAATGATTAATTTGATGACTCCTTAAACTCTCTTTCTGCAGTAAAATTCTAAGAATGTAAGATAATTCATTTATTTTTTATATTAAATCTCACGAGGTTCTCAAACACATATCTAATCCTTTTTTATAACAAAAAATGAGTGAAGGAAGACTATAAATAAGACCCACTCTCCCTTGCTGAGTCTCAAAAAGACTTTAAAAGCTACCTCTTTTTCTGGAAGACAACTTCCTTCCTACTGATTTCAACGTTTCTTTATTTCTTTTCTTCCTGGTTGCTTTGATCTGTCCTTGACCAGATGCAGAATCAGAGTCAGAAGAGTCAAGTTTGACTTGACGATGCCTTCTTGACTTGGAAGCCTTAAGAGTTAGAAATTCAATGACTCACAATGAATTACAAAATGAATCCAACAGATACAGACAAAATATAAAATCAAAGATGTGAAAAAAGTTAGAAAAACACAGGGTCTGGCAGAAGTAACACCACCGTGTGTGGCTGGACAACCATGATTGTTGCCCATGAGACGGACGACGATTTAAACATCTCACCTAAAATGTCATATGGTGTGCTTGAGTGTGATATTGTTATATCATAAAATTACATGCTTATGATTTTGTAATGAAAGATTTTTATGTAGTAAAAAAAGGAGCCCTGGCTGGTGTAGCTCAGTGGATTGAGCGTGGGCTGCAAACCAAAGGGTTTGTGGTTCAATTCCCAGTCAGGGCACATGCCTGGGTTGCAGGCCAGGTCCCCAGTGGGGGACACATGAGAGGCAACCACACACTGATGTTTCTCTCCCTCTCTTTCTCCCTCCCTTTCCCTCTCTCTAAAAATAAATAAGTAATCGTAAAAAATAAAATAAAATATTTAAATAAATAAAGTTTTTTTTTTAAGCACTATTTGTGCCAGACTCAGTGCCCATCTTCGTCTTCAGTGCTGTGCCATTATTCTGGCTAACACCTGTCACACGTGCACACTCCTGCATCATGACAAGGAGCAAGTTCCTGCAGCCGCCATTACCGCCCACTCAGACTGGACCGACGTGAGGGTGCAGCTGCACGGTTGGGAAGTGCAGGCACACAGGACAAGTACTCTGCTTTACTGCCCAATCACCTAGTCTCCCTTTCTTCTGAAATTTGATTTTCCTTAGTTACCACCATGTGTCTGCGTGGAACCACTTTATGCCTGGCTCCAGCTCTGGCCATAATGGCCCTGATCTAGTCAAAGTGAATTTCATGACCTCTAGTTTGTCCAGGGGTGGGCAAATGATCTGCATTATAACTGATGAGACTCGATTTCAGAATTCTGTTAAATTGTTAGGCAATAAAATCCTCCCTTTTTATTGCACCTGAACCTGGCAACATGCAAGGCTGGAGCTGTCATGCAGAGCACTTGACGACAGTGAAGGCAACATAAAAGGTGAGATGTGGCCAGACAGTCCAGGGAGTTTGCGGTCCAGCAGTCAGTGCCTAAGCAGAGCCCTGGTTAACACAGTGGCTTTGAGTTAATGGCACATATGCAGTGCAGGGAGGTATTAACAACTGGCTAATAGCTACTGTGTGCTGTATATTAACTGTATCTCAATAGAGAAAAAAAACAAAACAATGCAATAACTCACTTCTAACAATTTATGGGGATTATATTCTAATTAAATGATTTTTAAAAATTATTTCATAATTTCTTAAGTATCAGTGACCACTATATAATAAGGAAACAGTTCTGGTTTCAAAGAACGTGCAATTAATTTATTGCTCTTAGTGCTTTTATTCAACAATACCTTATACTCAGTTTACTGTGGCATGTACATATATAACAAATAATCTACAGTCACTTTTAATTTTTTATTTATTTTTTTATTTCTATAACTAAAAATGACAGTACTTTCCCACAGAATACATTCTTACATTCATGGAAAAAATCCAGGAAAAAAATAATATTAGTCACCTAAATTTATCAGTGCCCCCTTCTGAAGTGCCACTAAACTGAGAGTAAAGGAACAAAAATGAAAAATCTCACAAAACAAAAATAATAAGAAACACGGCGTCTGTGAAAAAAATCTGGAAGTGGGGAAGTGAATGACAGGTCACAACAGAATGAAGAAAGCTGAAACCTAATTGCCCATACGGAGGAAGTTACTAGAAAGTAAGCTAATCCAAGTGGATCAGGAACTGAAGCCATCAGAAATGGGACTAAAAAATGGGTAGATGTGTTGAAAACCTACTTAGGGATTACAGTCCCAATTCTCAGCCTCAAAATTAAACAACCAACTTCTTCCTATAGAAAACAGGAGGCTGGCTCTCTGCAGCGTCTAAACCAAAAAGGCTGTAGGCCGGAGGAGGCTGGCAAAGCCGAGGAAGGGGACAGACCCTCTCACTGTAAAAAGGGAGGTGAAGTGAAACCTGTGTAAGGAACGGTAAGCCTCTTGGCCAATTCTCCCCGTAGGCTTTCCAAACTCCAGCAGCTGGGCTTATCTGAGATTAAAAAAGCTGTATCTCCACTCTTAAATATGATCCAAGGATCTTCAAACATTTGAAAAAGCCACCAAAATATGAACTCCAGAGGGAAAGGAGGAAATGTCAAAAAACTGTAACGTGCACAAAGAGATAAGGTAATTCGTCTAGAGAAACAAAGACATAACGAATATTTTTAAGCCCTGGCTGGTGTGGCCCAGCACACTGAGTGCCCACTTCCAATGAAAAGGTCCCTGGTTCAACTCTCAGGAGACACGCCTGGGTTGCAGACCAGGTCCCCCACTGGGGGCGTGCAAAGGGCAACCTATCCATGTATCTATCGCACATTGATGTTTCTCTGCCTCTCTTTCTTCCTCCCTTCCTCTAAAATGAATAAAATCTTTTTTAAAAAAAGAAAAGAATATGTTTAAGTGGAAAAAGATTCATAGAACAAGAAAAAAACATTAGTAATGAAAAAACATCAGCGGAAACTTAAAAATCCAATATAATGTTCAGAAAACAAAGTTTAAGAAATCTCCCTGAAAATAGAGATTAAAAACAAAGGAAAATAATAAAATAAAAGTTCAAGAAAAGATAAAGAGCAAAAATGCAGCAAAGAACTCTAAGCAAAGAAAAAATACAAAAAATTCCTCTGAGCTCTGGCTGCTGTGGCTCAGTGGATTGAGTGCCAGCCTGTGGACGAAAGGGTTGCCAGTTCGATTCCTAGTCAGGGCGCATGCCTGGGTTGCAGGCCAGGTCTCTGGTGGGGGACATGCAAGAGGCAGCCACACATTGATGTGTGATGATCTATCCCTCTCTTTCTCCCTCCCCTCCCTTCTCTAAAAATAAATAAATAAAACCTTAAAAAAAAATTCCTCCCAACTGAAGGCCCTCGAATCAGACAATGCCCACAACAATGGGCACTGTAATAACTATACCAAGTTATTACTATCATGAATTTTCAGAACTTAAAGGATAAACAGAAACTCCTAAAGCCTTCCATGAACAGGAAAAGAAAAGCTGGAAGACAATAAAAAACAATGGCATCAAAATTGCAGGTAAATACCAGAAGTAATTAAGTGAGAAAAAGTTAAAGATGGTTGCCTCTTGAGGTTAGAATACAGGGGTAGGAAGTGCCGGAGCAGGAGATTATTGGGTTATACAAGCCATACAGTACTATTAGACATTTTAAACCCTGTACATGTATTACTTAGAGGAAAAATAAAAGTGTAATTTAGAAAATGGCAAGTCAATTTCTCAATTACCTTATTAAAGAAATAACTTACCTGAACAACAACTGAAAAGGCCTTTGATTTAATTTTTGCTAATGTTTCTGCCCTTTCACAACTCTAAAAGTAAAAATATACAAGAAAAGAAAAAGTTAGAACACGTAAACATTAAGTGAAATTATGAATACCCACAGAAACAAGATTTTAGACAGAGGAAGAGTATAAGAAAGTAACACCTATTGGACACATACTGAGTAAAGACACATAAACCCGCACCACATCCTCACAGCAGATGCCGTGATGCCATCCCCACAGCCACTGGGTATTACGGGGGATAAAAGGAAAAGATCACTCGTGATGAAACCATTCCCTTCTCATCAGTCTATGGCCACAAACAGCCAGCCCCTTGTCTCGTCCACTGAGTTAGATGAAAACTCCTGAGGCAAGACGCTGCACACCAGCTGAAAGATGGACAGGAAGTGAGAAAAGACATACGAAAGAATCCTCACTCTGCCCCTGCAGGGACTCAGGCACCTCCAGCATCATCCTGCCCACCAACGATGAAAACAGTCAACACCCTACTCCCAGTCTACACCTGACATAGTCTTACTCAAGGCTTCCAGTAAAAAACAAACTAGCTTTTCACAGAACCCCATGTTTCAGAATTTTCTAAGATACTGACCAAGGATCATAATGCTTAGTATACAGAATCACAGCTACACATAAAATAAAAAGTTAATCAAACTACTACACCAGAAGCAATCAGTGAATTTTTCTGACCTCTGATTCTTGTGAATTTCCTTCCTTCTTTTCTTCTCCATCCTTAACTTTTGATTTTAAGGATGAATTCTGAAAGAGCAAAAATTTCACATATACAGATTAACAATTCAAATTAACTAAAAATTAATTGCAAGTCAATTTCATAACAGTGAGAATTACTTAACTACTGAAAAACTGAAAGATCATTTCACGTTATTTCAGTACAGCTCACCACCTGACATTAAGATCATGGTTAGGTGTCAAAAGTGTTCTAAAGTTCATCAATAAAATGCCTAAATCCTCCAAATGAAGGATAATATACACTTATGTGGTCAAGAAAATTGGTTTATTCTTCTTTCCTTCATGAAAGTTTGTTAAAAAAGAGAACTGCCCTGGCTGAGTGACTTGGTTGGTTGGAGTGTTGTCCCGTGCACCAAAGGGTTGTGGGTTTGGTCCTCAAGGCATGTACCTAGGCTGTGCCCTGATCAGGGCGTATACGGGAGGCAACTGATCTATGCTTCTCCCTCACATCAATATTTCTCTCTTTCTCTCTCCTTCCTTCCCTCCCTCTCTCTCTCTAGAATCAGTAAATATATACTAAAGTAAGGATTTATAGTAATATTTAATTAAAAAAACATGAAAGAGAGTACTACTCAAACATTCTAAAATGCTACATCATTAAAATAAATGTGGGTACAGGAAGCAAAGTATTTCCTTCTCCCCAAGACCGTCATCTCCTCGTCACTTTCCTTGTGTATGTTTTACTCAAATTAATTTCAGCCAGTTCCCTTTATATAACAGAAAGCCAAAAGGCGGCATCAAATACTTCTGAAAACACGATGAAAGATATCTATCTAGCATTTGAGAAAGCACTAACACATTATCGCACACACAGTACATAATTAGAAGTTGCTTATTTTTGCCTTATTTTCAGAAGTATTTACTAAAATAAGATGAGGTAGTGGTTTCAAAGGTAAATTTAGCAAGGCCAGCCTTCAGGTTTCCATAGCAAAAACGTTTCTCCAGCTGGAAAGGTTAATGTGACGTACAGGTAGCTCTGGCCTCAGTATTTGGATCAGAAAACCAAACTGCAGGTCTGTGTCGATGGGATTTGTAAAGGGTAATGAACCAAGGCTGGTGGAGCCCATGGGAGAAGCCACCACGCAGGTCTGCAGCGTGGGACCAGTGCTGCCAAAGCTCGGACTCTCAAGAGAAGCTGGATGTCTGGAATATCACATGCAGTCTGCAAATATTTAAATGTCGGTAATTGATTCAAAATCGCTCATGTCAGGATCGATGCTGTGCCACACAAAACACCTCTGTGAGCAGGATGTGGCCCAAAGACGGCTGTGTATCCTCTGGAAAATGCTAAATTACAAACATTGCAATAACTCTGTGGTATACCAAGATGGCTCATTCCTCTATAATTATATAATTTGATTGTACATTACAAAGTTGTCATTAATTAGAATTACTTGATTATATATACAATATGTACAAAACTTACTTATAAGGTTAAATAACATCACATAGCTAACAAGTGTCAAAGGAAAGTAAAGCCCTCTACACCTCAGCTCCACGGAACGTAGCCACTTGGCCAGGCCGCCTCTCAACGTCCTCGCCCTTGTCAGCCACGTGTGCAGCAGAAATGCCAAGGTGAGGTATCAAATGAACAGTCACATACCTTCCTGTCTTTGTGCCACTGCTGATGCTCCAAAACTATGTTCTTAATATTATTAAAAAAATCATCCTTTATCAAGCTGAGGGCTTTGTCTGGATTGGACTTATCCGCTGAAATTACATGTTTCATGTTCTGATAATGGTCATGAACATTCAGCATTTCCTAAAGGCGAAAAGATGAGTCTTTTATTTCCACTTTATAGAAGAAATTTACAGGCAAAACCAACACAAAATAAAATGACATTCCAAAGTGACTGCTGATAAGGAGTAACATGCTATAGTACATTGAAAATTATATAACCGTGTAAACAAAACGGTACAGCTTTAGTAATGAAGCATGGGCTGCTTTCAGAGGTATGTATCGTTCAATTCAATTCAACAAACATGAAGTAACATACACTGTTTGGGAAAAGACTAACCAGTTAATAAAGGATTACACTCCTGGGTATAACAAAATTGCTAATAAAATATCATTGAATATCACTACTGATAATAACTAAGAAGCATTTTTTTATATTGTCATTTTGAGCATATTTACATAGTTCTTTACCCTCGACCGGAGGTTCCTTGGATGAGGACTCCACTTAATCCTCCAGAGATGTGCCGATGACTTTCACAAACTTCAAAGCCTATATGCCTGTATCTCATCATTACTTTGGTGTTAGAATGTAGGATTAAAAGAAATAGAGGGGATTTGTGACCCCATTTGAGGCCTTACTTATTCATTAGACCTTCCTCCCTCAGAAACTTCCATCTGCATGGGCAGGTCTAAGGGGTACGGAGAAGGGCAGCACACTGCAGGCAGACTTACGAAATCAAATAAAACCAGTATTGGGACGTGGCTCAAAGAGCAGCAGGGGACTACTGATACTTCTTTCACAGATGGCCACGACATCTGAGTCACCCCTAAATCAGGCTACTCAGCTCGCTTCTAGGAGATTTGGGTAGAATTAGCAGGATTTGTTCAAGGAATCAGAAACTGCTCAGTAGTGACGAGTGCTCATACACGGAGCATCTCCAGAGGGAAGGTGCCCAGGCAGGCGGAGCCCCTGACCTTTCACAGTTTATGACGCACTGTACACCCGTTATTTTACCACATGCAGCGCCATCCCAGGGAAAGAGCACTAGCTGGGCCTGGTTCGGGCCCGAGTTCTGCCACTTGCTAGGCTGTGATCTTGAGCAAATCCCTCAACCTGAGACTCATGTTCCGCGTATGTACAAAATGGAGTAAGGCCACCTAACCCACCATGAAAATATTACGTGAGCATATACAAGCGAGAGTGTTCTGCCTGATGTAAAGCACTAATACAGTTAAGTGTTAGGAAATGAAAGAAAATGTCCAGACTTTGGAGTCTTACTTGGACATTTAAATCAAATATCTGGACCTTAGTTTCTGCAAATTACTTAACTTCCCTGGGCCTCAGTTTCCTTGTTTTTAAAATTAGGAAAACACCACTTCCTCTGCAAGGTTACTATGATGATTAGTGAGATAAACATACATAGAACATATAACACAGTTCCTGGCACATGTTCGAAACTCACCACGTAATGGTCATTAGTATAACTGTATAAATGGAAAAACTGACTTAGAAATGAAATAATTAGCTGAAGGTCATATTTAAGTAGCAGAGTTAGAATTAAAAATCGGACATTTTAATTCAGCATCTTATTCTCTTCATTTCATTATGCCTCCTTACCCACAGACTGGAACTAATGAGTGGCAGAAGGATGACCAGAATTCAAGTGTGCTAACATGGAGACAAAAGCATTTGCAAGCAGTAGATGGAAAGTAGAAAAATACTGAATTTAAGGACGATCGATGAGTACGGGCCAAAGGCTCTACAAGGACAAAGAGAATCGAGAGAGGCATTGACAGAAAGGGCTCTCAAAGCAGGTCTGTGGCAAGGCCAAGATGGAGATAAAGTCAGGATGGCTTCACACAGACTACTCCATTCCAGGAGCTGCTAGGAACAGGCATCTCCAAGCCTGGCCTCTCCTCTGCAATCCCCCTAAAATCATAGGCGTTTGTGCCCTGGCCGGGGCTCAGGTGGTTAGAGCATAGCCCCAAATACCAAAAGGCTGCAGGTTTGATCCCCAGTCAGGGCACATACCTAGGTTGTGGGTTTGATCCTCTGGCGGGGCATGTACGGGAGGCAGCCAATCAGCGTTTCTCTCTCACATCAGTGTCGCTCTCCCTCTCTTCCCCCTTCCTCTCTCCCTAATAATCAATAAACATTAAAAAAAGGCCTTTGTGCCTCACCTCGGCTCTGTTCTCTTAGATCTTCCTAGTTTGTAGTGAGTTTTTAAATAAGCATTGTAAAAAAGGAACTTAATAAACATGTATTGTTGAAAAAATTAAAATTAAATCACTTAAATTCTTGTTTTATGACCTATCCAAAAAATCAAATACAGATGGTGGTTTTAGTATCTGAATGTAAATATCCTGAATCCAAGTCCAGTCTTCTACATCTTTTTTTTTCCCCAGATGAATCAAGCATTTTATTTAATTACAACAAGGAGGCACTCGCTTATTCTTTACTTAAAAAAATAACTTTCAGCCCTGGCTAGTATGTCTTAGTTGGTTGGGCTGGTTCAATTCCCAGTCAGGGCACATGCCTGGGTTGCAGGTTCGGTCCTGTCTGGGAGCTTATAAAAGGCAAACTATTGACGTTTCTCTGTCACATCGATGTTTCTCTCCCTCTCTCTAAAGATAAATAAAATCTAATTTAAGACTAAATTACACTCAGGCCTATACTGAAACTACTACCTAGGTAGTTTCCAGGAACATTATTTTGTTTCCATGACATCATTTGCCACTCAATCCTGGAACTGTTGAGATGTGAAATCACATCTGTCCTGTGCACTGCAGGAAACTAAATGAGACTTCACCCGTGTCACTGAATTCCTCAGTCTCTTGTAATGTTTTCTATCGCCCATCAGAACAATTAGATCCGCTTCACAGAAACACGTGGAAAATAGTTCCATCTTTGCGCAACAACCCAGCACCCTCCAGGTTTTTAAAAGCTAAGAGTGTTAACTTGTGCAAGTCAGAATCTGACCCCAGGTAAACGGTGCCAGCTTTGCCCATAAGCAAGGATACGCTCCTCCAGGCTGCGAGGGGAGACTGCCAGGGCCGATGGGTCCCAAAGACACGTGCAACTCTGCTACATCTTTGTTTCCAGCTGTGTTCAAGGTTTTACAAATTTTCATATAGTTAGGCTGTGTTATTTCTAAAACTTTAGAGCAAATAATATGCATTCGACAGTTGTTTAAAGCCACTAAAAAATTTTCAGTAACCAGTAGAAAAAGGTATAACCTCATTTTAATTAATAGTAAAACACTTTTTTTACAGTTTAATTTAAAGAGAATAAAAGCAATTTTACCTCTAATACATCAGAAGTGATAAGTTTCGTTACACGATCATTTGGGTCCTTAAATTCTTCTGTAACTTCAGCTCGCTGAATTTTTTTCTTCATTCTACATGACAGCTATATGATAATGAATGTCTTTTAAAGTATATTTTTTTGAGTATGGAAATAAGTATGATAGCAACAAAAACTGCCTATCGGTAATCCTGAATGAAACAAAACCAGCACTAAGTATATTTATTAAATAATCCATTTTTCAAAGACTATTAGACTTTTAAAACAACCCTGACAATAACCCACGTGCTTAGAAACTCAAATGAGACTCAGAGAAGTCCCATATACTTGCCAGCTGATGGCAGAGCCAAACCTAGAACCTAGCGTTCTTCTAATCTAGTGTCTCAACTGGCATAAGATCAAAGAAATAATATCATATCTTATTAGTGAAAGTCTCAACTTTCCACCAACATACATTCAAATTCTTTGTTCCTCTTTCAACAGTACCCCCTCTGAGGTCTGAATAAAAAACAATGAACAAATGCAGATGCTGAATGTACCGTTCTCTTCTAACGATCTCTTTACCAGACAGCACCTGGAAACACATCACATTTAAAAGCAGAGACTGAGCCCCGGCTGGTGTAGCTCAGTGAATTGAGCACAGGCCTGCAAATCAAAAGATCGCAGCTGGATTCCCAGTCAGGGCACATTCCTGGGTTGCAGGCCAGTTCCCAGCAAGGGATGCACAAGAAGCAACCATACATTGATATTTCTCTCCCTCTCTCCTTCCCTTCCCTTCTAAAGATAAATAAATAACATTAAAAAAAAAAAAAAAAGCAGAGACTGAATTTTGTTTCCAACAAAGAGTAATTGAGGAGCATTTTCTCCTTTTTTAAGAAGCCTTTCTGCAAGTATTAGAAACTATACAATAATGTTCTTTCCACACTATGGAGACTGAGACCTTTTAAGGACAATGAACTGTAATTTCTCACTTTGAAGAAACAATCTACTTTAGGTACCGTACCAACTTGGGCATCGCTGTGAAGTGAAACGCTTTGTCTAGTCGTAGCTTCCTGAAAATGTAGGCTGCGTCATAATGCTGGGCATTGATCAAATCCTGCTGAAATTTTAAAACTTCATCCCAATCCTTCAGGGCAACTCTAATCTGCGGACAAGAGAAGTAAAAAAGTTGTTACTACATGTAAATCTTCCTCACAAATGTTTTAGCATTTTGAAACACTGGCATTTCTACATAAATCAGTTTGCAGTAAAAATAAGTACCCATTTCATGTTTCTGCTGGTGGAAAACAACTCATCGGTATTACCTTTTGTTTCGGTTGACACAGTTGGGTGTTATATAATCCATACAGCAAATACAAAGCACCAACTCTGATCTGGAAGGTATATGGAGGTAGAAAATATCGCCAAGCCAGAGCTAAAGCTTCTTTTGTAAACGTGTTCTTCTCTAAATTTCTCATTTTACCACTAGAAAACAAAGAGAAAATATGCCATGACTTTAAATAAGTAATGAACAAAAATTAGAAGAGGTATATTCTAGCAGCTACGAGAAACTGGATGGGCATCCTACATCTGATCTCCTCCTGATTCAGGCACAAAGACTTAATCTTGGATATGTTTCTTCCATGGAGGTACAGGTAAACAGGTAAACATCTGCTACGTAAACAGGATACATCTACATAAAGCATCAACTTGACACGCTGAACTGGGGAGCAAAAGGGAAGGAGTTACAAATTATTCCAAGTCAAGAATTTAAAACACTTATGCCCTGACTGGCATGGCTCAGTGGATTGAGCATGGGCCTGCGAACCACACGATCACGGTTTGATTCCTAGTCAGGGCACATGCCTGGGTTGCAGGCCAGTTCCCAGCAGGGGACACACGAGAGGCAACCATACATTGATATTTCTCTCCCTCTCTTCTTCTCTTCCCTTCTAAAGATAAATAAATAAAATCTTTAAAAAAAAGAATTTAAAACACTTAATACATTAAAGTAACCGTGGTTGTGTTACAGAATAAAATACACAAGCTACACCCATATTAATATATAATTGATATTTTTCTCAATACTCTCAGGGACTCACATGAAACCTCATTTGCCCTTGGGACATCAAAGTAAAAAAGTTAGAGACTACAATATAATGTAACCCATCCCTCCTTCTAATTCTTCAGGGCAAAGGGAAGTAAACCCCTCTGTACTCCCAAAGCCTAGTCTCTCAAAATAACAATTAATACAGTAAAACAATGCAAAATACCTACTGTAAGTATAGACAACCAAAGCAACTTCTAAAGAAAATTCCCCATTCCTCAGGTGGCTCTACCTTTTTCTTCCTTTTAGTTTTCCATTAGCTAAAAATTGAGGTAACCCCAGCAAAATGTTTCTGAACTACCACTTTTCCCAAGAGGATTGCAATGAAAGACCATGGGTTTTGGAAAGAGGCAAACATATAGATTTCAACATCTGCTCTACTACCTACTGGCTTTGTGATCAGGGAGAAATTACTCAAATTCCTTAAACCTCAATTTCCTCATCTATAACACATCCATTCTACCTGCTTTTCAGAGTTGTTCTATGGATTAAATACATGAAGCTATAAATGCATTACATGTAATAGTTAAAAAATTAACTCTCTCCTATCATTATTTGTACAACAAACAGCTCTCCATCCTCCATCCCTACAAAGTACAAACTACACTGGCAATTCACATCAACAGAGAGAAAAAAGAGAACTTCTATATTTTATTCAGCAAAACAAAGTTTCAATCACAGGAACTCATTCATCAATTATTTAGCCTTTCCAATATTGTATGTATTATGCCAATAGACACCAAATTCATCCAGTCACTGTCCTCTCAGAGCTGTCTAATGGAGGAAAATTTTTTAAATAATAGCAAAACTGAACATTTACTAGCCACTTAGAGTGCACTTAACATATATTAATTAGCTCATTTAATCATCAGAACCGAGGTATTACCATTGTCCCTCTTTTACAGATAAGGAAGCCCAGATAAGACACTTAACAAGTCATTCAGTGGACTCAGGTTCAAATTCAATTGGGCTCCATAATCTGTACTCTTAAACACTAATACTTTTTTTTTAACTACACACACATTTTTTAATGTATAAGGAAAAAAAGAGCAGAATCCCTCACTTAGTCTAGAAGAGCAAAGGAAGGCTTCCCTGAGGAATGGGCATCTGAACTTAAACGGAGTGAAGAATGAAGTGGCCAGGCAAGGGGAGTTGGGGCCTGTAGGGGCCTAGAGACCTTGGAAACACCTGTAGAGGGGCTGGAGCAAGAGAGTGAGTGCGCGGACATTGGTAACGAAGCTGCAGAGAAGGGCAGAGGCCGATCCTGTCTAGCCAACCCCGTTAGGAAACTGAGCTGTATCCCAAAGGCAATGGAAACCACTGAGGGGGTAAGCAAGGGATTGCCCTGGTCAAATTTGCACTTTTGAAAGAGAACTTTGGTTGTTACAGGTAAAATGAATTCAAGCGTGAGTTGTCTTTGCTTAGGTGTTTCTTTCGTTTTGAAATATGGGGTTCCAGGAGAACAGGACTGGAGGAGGGCAAACGATGGTGACCTAGGTCTGGCTTGGCAGTGGATGGAAAAGAGGGAGCAAGGCACAACCACATATGCGGGAAGAGGCCGCAAAAGGATGCAACCGAAGCCAATGAAATCACCCAGGGAAAGCACGTAGCCTGAGCAAGGAAGGCGCCCCAGGAAAGATGGGGGTTGCCTTCAGAGAAAGCCCTTTTCCTAAGCCCTTTACGGGTGCGGTGACTTGGAAGAGAGGAGTGGAGGTGATTAGCAACTACCTGCGCCGCGTTTGAGCGGACGCGACCAGACAGGCTAGGAGCGGACGAGAAACACCCACCAGAAGATAGTCCCGAACTTCATGCTCCTCCAGACCTCCGTGAAGTCCTCGAAGCGTACACTGTCAGTCTCTTGGAAGCGGCTGAGCAGCGTCTCACAGTCGGCCTGCAGGCCTGGAGGGGTCCCCATACCTGCAAAGGCCGTGCAAACCACGAGCGGTCGCCGAGGAAACGTAGCACGACGCCCCGCCTCCGACGACGTGACGCACACGCGCGCCGTGACTGGTCGTCGGGCTCCGTTAGCTCCACCTCCAATCGGCTCACCCTAAGCGGTCGCTTTTCTCACTGCGCGTATACTTCCACTCTGTTAGTCGAAGGACTGAGATCAGCTCTTGTAATTTCTTTGAGAATGTTTGTATCTCAAGTGTCATGTGAGCCCAAGAAGGAATTTAGGCATACATTAGGCTAGCTTATGAAATTTGGCTTTACCCTTACCATCACTCTTCTTTAAGGTGGAAGAGCGACAGAATTCAGCTTTTAGTAGAGAGGGAAGACCAGTTCAGACCTCAACGCTCCCCCTGGTGGAAAGAGGTCTAAAGAGGGTTTACTAGGAAATGGACTGGACTCATTCTCTTAGCAGTCTGTACCAACGCAGTAGGGAGTTTACTGGGAGGCTCTCTCCTTGTAGACCAAGCTGTCTTCTGCGACCACTCTTTTTTTTTTTTTTTTTCCGGGGGAGCGGGTTAAGAATTTTTATAAAAATGTATTTGAGGCGAACAGGATACACCTGGAAGCAAGATCTCACCAGACTTGAGATACATGCTTACTGCAGCCATTCTTGAGTTGTTTTGTAAACATCTCCCCACCACCACCCACCCACGCCTACTCTACGATCTAGCATAGTGCTTAGCAGAAAGTCTTTACCTTATGTGTACTTATTATTGGCTAAATTGGCTTTCTCTATACACTCCACCTCTTATCCCTGGAACTAGATATGGAGTAGTAGTCTGTACTTTTCACCATTTCTCTGATTGCAAGGCATGCTGGTTTTATTCTCTAGGAGCAGTATCCTAATATAATAGGAAAGCATGGGTTTTCTGTCTGTAAATGGAAATTCAATTCACTTTACTGATCATTGATCTATTTTTTAATTTTATGTATACAGAATAACATGTACTGTGTGCGATAAAAAGCATAGCAGATCCGTGTGTGTCCTACCTGTGTGGAAACCAGAATGTTACTAACACTGCCACGTTAATGTGTGAACTCCTCCCTTAAACTCTTGCCCCGCCTCTGCCACTATCTTGATAACAACTATCGTATTTTGTTCCTATCTTTTAAATGCTTTATCACATGTGTATGGCTACCTAAAACAGATATTGTTTAGTTATGGATGGTTTTGAGTTTTATCAAAATGGTAGTGCAATGTATAAAACATATTCTTTGAATTGCTTATTAAATTTAGCAGTGTTTCTAAGATGCGTTCATGTTATTACTCATAGCTGTAGTTCATTCATTTTTACTCCTGCCTAATATTCCATTGTGTGAACATACAGTTTATCCATTATTTCCTCAGTGCAAACGTTGGTGGGTTCCAGATGTTGCTATTATAAACAGTGTCGTGAACACTTGTACATGCCTCCTCTTGTTTGTAGGATCCCAACCAGATAAAGTATATGAGGCCCAATAAAATTTGAATTTCAGGTCAGATTTTCTAATTATTTATTATTTATCTTAAATACCGTTTAACTGGCCATCCATTATTTTTGTTTGCTAAACAGGGCAATTCTACTTATATGTAACAGCAGTATAGAGTCCACATACCTACGAGTGGAATTGTTGGATGATAATTGGTGCAAATGTGAAATTTTAAAAGATAATGTTTAATTGTTTTTTTCTAGAGTGGTTGAGCTGGTTTACATTTCACTATGAGTGAGTGACAGTTCCCAATTCAGCCATATCAGTTCGGAACCTTGGTATATAGTTGTGGTCTTCATATGCATTTCTCTGACTATTGATATAGTTGTACATTTTCTCAAGTTCTGATTTTTATTTATACTTCCTCTTCTGTGAATGTTGTTTATATATTTTGTTCATATTCAGTTGGGTTGTTTGCCTTTCTCATATTGATTTGCAAGGTCGTCTTATATATTCTATAAACTAAACTGAGGTTTCTTTTATGTATTACAGATATCTTTCCCCAGTTTGTGACTTGCCTTTATTTACTGTGTTCATGGTGATTTTTGATGTATAGAAAATCTTATTTTTAGTGTAGTCAATTTTTAATTTTTTTCTGATAAGCACTTGTGTGTATTAGGTCCACAAAATATTTCCCCTGTATTACATGATCAGTTAAGCTAATGCCAATAGTATTAGCTTATAAATCTTGACTTCTCAGTGGCTTAACGTAAATTAATTTTACTTTTCTTTCACATTAATTTCACCTAATGGCAAGATGTTGTGGGAAGGGTTCTGCTGTAAAAAATCACCTGGGGACCCAGGCAAATGGAGACTTAAAATCTTCAGTTATTTGCTTTCCAGGCCACCCCGATTATAGACAGCTACCTGCAGACTTGGGAAGAAAGAGAATGTGAAGGGCTGCGTGAGAGGTTTTTATGGGCCGTGTCTGGAAGTGGTGTACACTCAGAGGACAGTCTGCTGCCCTCTGCTGGTGGGAAAACTTATTACCCCTCCCTCACCCAGTAGTACAGAAATAGAAAGTAAGTGTTCGGTAAACTTCTAATAGCAGTTTGACAAAGTAAATTTGTTGAATCTAATAATAAAAAAATGGGCTTGTATTTGGTGTGAACTTTTATTTGTTTATTTTTATTTATTGATTTTAGAGAGAGAGGAAGGAGAGAGAGCGAAATATCAACTTATTGTTCCACTTATTTATGCATTAATTGCTTGCTTCTTGTATGTACCCTGACTGGGGATTGAACCTGCAAACTTGACATATCAGGACAATGCTCTAACCAATTGAGCTACATGGCCAGGCTGTTGGTATGAACTTTTAAATTTCCATTTTTCTGGCTATAGTATTTTTATTTTAGCTTACGAAAGTATTGATCCATGATAAATTGGGAAGAAGGAGTGCATTACCACAGATAGTGTGAGAAGCACTGGTGCACACTACTGTATTTCAGTCCACATTCCATTGGCCAGAACTCATTTAAGCGGCACCATTTAGAAGCAAAGAGACCTGGGAAGTGCAGTCCCTGTCTGGGCAACCTCTTCCCATTGAGTGGGATGCAGAAGCATCACCTTCTTTCTGAGTTCAATTTCCAACCCCCCCCCCAATTCCACCAAGCTTGTACAAAGTTCCTACAGAAGGCTTATGTAGGGGGTTACATTTCTGTCAGTTCAAACTCTTGTCCAAGCTGGGACAATGGTGCAGGCGGTATTCACCAGCACGACTGCGTCCAAAGTAAGCCACTCAAACATTTCTCTTTCATTTGCTAGACAGCTGCTGCCCTGAAGCCCCAAGGGGCCTGCTCCACTATCCTGGCAACCTCCTTTGCTCCCTTCCTTACAAACTTCTGGATATTATTGGGCCTCCGGCAGTGAAAGGCACCTGGGACTTGCCCATCTCAGAGCCTTTTGTTTGCTAAGTTATAGCCCCTGCAGCACAGGCAGTTAACTATTGCATTTTTCACCCATGTTTTTCAGTAGTAAGGCTGGCATCTCATCCTTTATAAGGCAACTCATTCACAACCACAACTTCAGTCTATGAAAAAGGTGCAGAATCCCTGTTAAACTGCCAATTTCACTGCCACAATTTTTTAATCCTCTGTATCCACCTAAAAATAATTTCTATGGATGGTGTGAGTCAAGGATCTAATTTCACATTTTTGCATATATACACCATGTATATGTACATGTGTTTTCTATATGTGTAATTTCCCAGCATCTGTGGCTGCATGGTCCATCCTTTCCCAAGTGATCAATTCTGTCACGTGTGTGTACAGGGCTAACTGAAGCCAGTACACGACTCCACAGTTCTGTACCTGTCATTAAAATACCGAAACATCTCCATTATTGTTAGTAAATAGTTACTGTCCTGAGCCTCCTTACTACCCTCAACACCACCACTTGGGCCACCCAGTCCCCTCCCCTGAATTCCCCAAACCTCCCCACGATCCAAAAATGAAAGAGGTAAGCCTGGCACGGGAAGAGGCCTCCAGACCCACTCCAGCTTCAGTCTGTATCTGGGGTCACAGATATCTGTCTACTTCCAAAGGCTGATTTAGATTTTGCTACATTAATACCATATTCTGATTACCATGACTTTAAAAATATCTACAAAAAAAAGTTCTTTCATCTTCTTTTTCTTCAGGAGTAACTTGATTATTCTTAAGCTTTTGCTTCTTCATAGAAATTTTTATTTTTACTTTATTTTTTATTTTATTGTTTATGCTATTACAGTTGTCCCACTTCCCCCCCCCGTGTCCCCTCCACCCAGCCCACCTCCCACTTCCATAATCAGTCCCCTCACCATTGTCCGTGTTCGTGGGTCCTTCATATGTTCTTTGACAGATCCCTTCACCTACTTTCAATCACAGAAATTTTTAAATCAAGTTGTCAAATGTCTCTAATCATGCCACTTGGATTTTGACTGATTGCATTACATTTATGTGTCAGTTTGGGGCAGAATAACATCTTTATTATATATGACATCTACCCATACATTTGTCATCTTTTTCCATAAACTTTTTAAATTAATTTTTATTCTATTTTTTCCATTACCATTTATCCCCCTTATACCCTCTTCCACCTCTACCCACCCCTCCCCCCTCCATGAAATTCCATGTATCTTTTGTTAGACTTATCCCTGGACCCCTTGTTTCTCTGTAGCTATTGTATTTTGTATCTTTCACTTCCTTACATTTTCTAACTGCTTGATTACAACATATAAAAATGCCATTGAATTTTATATATTGATCTAATACCCAGTGCCCTTCCTAAATGTCTATTAATTGTAATAGTTTTTCTATAGATTCCTATAGGTTTATGTGTAGATGATATTAGCAGCTATGAATAATGATAGATTGCTTTTTCCTTTATAATCCTTATTTCTTTATTTCTTTTTCTCCTGTTTGTTTCCCTGGCTACGACCTCCTACACTACGTGAAACACACACACAGGAGCCAGGCGTGTGTCTGTTCACTACTCTGCCACCAGAACCTAAAAGTGCTTCGTGCATAGCAAATGCTCGTGAAAAGTCGACTGACTTTTTCATTTCA